ATGATTCAGGCCTCCTGGATCATCAACTTATGATGCGCTATAGAGTTGGCACTTGACCGAATGGTGCGACCCACCACTTTACCACTGATAAGCATGGTCAAGCTGCTGGCCGTGAGGGCGGACGCTTACAGAGATATCTTCATCTGTGTAGGTGAAATGGCTTGGGTACGTAGTTGCGATTACAGATTGGCTACGTCTGATGGTCGTGAACTCTTACCCAGCCAGTGTGTAGTCGTTTCTCTGCAGATTCTGGGGCGTCTCAGGAGGTGGGTTCTGGCGCTGCGCCAAGCCGTTTTTCTTCAACTGCTCTCGCTTGCTCGCTTCAACAATTGGTGGAGAACGGGCAAGATAAATGCGATAAACCCAGCCCCCTAACCCACCCTGCGCTTGCGAGGAAAACGACTGCACCCCACTAATGATGAGGTATCTTTGCAATCCTGATGAAATTCTGCAATTCAATACCTTAGGAACGGTCTGAGCGTTGACGATCTGCACCAACACTGGCATGCCATTCTCGTTCACCTCCACCTCGCATGGTGGGCAGACTGCAATACACGTTCTTAAGACGTAGTGATTCTACACAAAATAATCGGGTTACCTGTTTCCCCAATCTTGCTCTGCAGGTCCTTGTCCACTCCTTTGACTGTCACGTTCTGTGGATTACCCTTGGAGTCTGGCTGGAATTGAGCTGAACTAAATTGAGCGCTAGCCTGGAAAGTTGTCCTGCTCAACCGACCTGGCATTGTTTGTCTGCGTAGAAGATCGATTCTCCATGAGCACCTCTCACAAGTGTGCCCTTGGTGTGGTTTCTGAACTTTGGTTGGCCATCTCGACCCTTCTCTATCTTATCTTCGGGGATAAATTGTGGTGTTTCTGAAAATTACTGGGATTTTGCGTGGAAGGTGGTGCCAGCTGCTAGCCGTTCTACCATGAGCTCCTTTGACAAGTATCCCTCTGATCGGTTCGTCGACTGTCTTTCGTGGACCAACTTCTTCTCCTTCCACTCTGTCAATGTCCACTAGCACAGCCACACCAGCAGGTCCCTGAGCAGAGTCGTGGTATGAAGTTACAGCCAGGCCAGAACGAAGGTTCAACCAACTTACGACAACGGCAACTTTGCCTGGTGTGATTGCTCCCATATAGCTTTGTCGTTCTTCGTTCGACTTCAGAATCAGCCGCGTGACGAAGTTCCACCGCTTTCCTAAAACTTGAAGTCCTTCGAGAAATTTCTACTCAAAAAAATTGAGCTACTCACTTCCTGTCGCTTTCATCGTCCTTCACCATCTTTTTCTTCTTCTTCTCTTCTTTCTTGTTCTCCTTCATCCTCGCTCTTCGCTCTTGTCTGTGCCTTTTGCAGCGTTTTTTCTTTCCACTCTTCAAGCGAACGCATCCGCATGGAGGAGGGTCCAACATTACCTGCGGTACTATACATTTCCTTGACCTTCTTTTAGAGGAAGTGGGCACGATGAATGGGGCGGGCGGTTGTTGTCAATGTTATTGGCGCAAGGGACGCGGGAGGGCGTTTGTCCACGAATCAATCCGCGCTTCCACCAATGACATTGGCCGCAGCCGCCCGCCCCGGCCATCGTGGGCCCACTGCCTTAACGACATGCGTCTATCGCCGTTGAAGCAGGCCGAAGAAACTTACAACAATAAATCATTATTCTGCGACCATCAATCTGTGGCAAAAAAAAAAAGACATCTGTGGGTGCTACTTGTATAATAATCCACGCTTTTTGGTACTTTGGCCTTCGGCTTGTAGTCGAGCCATCTCTTCTGAAGTAACCCAAAGTTAAAGGGGTAGATAACAAGACAATTGTAAGTTTCCGCGCTAGTGAGCGTGGCGAATGACGCCGCGCTTCAAGGACGAGTTTCCCTTGTGGCCGTTCGGGGTTGAGCCTTAAAGAGACGGGAATTTCGATGGTGACCATACAAAAACTTGTCTCCGCCTAAATTCATATAAGTCCGCGTGCGGGCTCTAATCGACAAACTGAAGGTGCGGATAGAACCTCAGACAGCGCAGAAATTGCTCGCTCACGCGCCGCCAATACGCCGCCGTCGACTTGAGCCAAAATATGATTGCCATTGTCCGTGTGCCGCGAAATAGACCTTCGCCATAAGATGAAACGTAGAATGCCCCAATTTTGCAGCCAGGTAGCCAGTCGCCAAAAGCGGTTGCCTACGAGAAGGGTGAGAGAAAAGCGGCAGGGACGGTCCACCGAACTCAATTCTACCCCTTTTCTGTTGGCCGCGACACCTTTTCTGTTTTCTTCTGTGCTCTCACGTCTGTATGCACAATTCGATGACACTGTTGATCGGCTACCTTCTTTTCAAAAGCCTGATTAGTCGGCTGCAACGCACCCCTAGAATCCCCTTCATGCTGGAAAAGCTCATCTTGGCTTTGCAACATCTGGATGAATTAGCGGCCGCAGTTCTCTGATCATTCGGCCTTTCGTGTCAGGACCGCAGGACCGTCCTTAAGTTCTAGTGTCGGCAGAACCGCAAATGAGTCACGGTCTGGATACCCACTTCCACTGGCCCACGAACTGGCCCATCCCAATAAGCCGTTCACGTCACGATTCGCAAGCGTCAGCTGGCCGTGCCTCTCGAAGACTGTAGCTGTTGATATGAACGATGTTGTGTATTAGCTCTATTGCTGCCGCGCGCTTCATGCTGCTGCTTTCCTTGATACCTCTCTTGAAAAAGAGACTAAATCAATTTGGAATTAATTCACTTTGTAAGTGTGGGGAGCGTTCTGATGGTGCTCCAAATTACGAATGATGCAGTCCTTTCCTCATAGCGTGGATAATTTGTCGATTACCGTAATCCCCATATACATGAAGTCTCGGGAACTGTGCCCCTTGAGCTGGTTTAAGCTGTGTTCTATGTGAAAGATAGGCTAACCCCCAAATTTTCCTGAAATATTGTAGGCCTGGCTGCAGAACTTCAACGCTAAGTTTGGCTGTTGCTTTTGGTGAGATATTCCGTTTTGCCAACAAGAAAAAGATGACAGTTATCTCAAACTGAAACATCCCACTAGTAACCAATTCTATGCCGTGTTCGCCACGCCAATGCCACGCCTACTCCGTCACAGGGATAAGATGTGTATACGATGTGAAAGAGATTTGTGAGCCAGAGGATGCACTGAGGTTGCAAGAGCATCTCCTCAGGTTCCATACTCTTCCATCTTCAGAGGCAATGGGCACGATTGCTAGAGGCGTGTGGTTGTTGCCAGCGTCACTGGGAAAGGGCTTCGAGAGGACGTTCGGCCACACCCTACCCAGCCCTTCTACCAATGAGCTTGCCACAACTGATCACCCCCAGCCATCGTGCCCATTGCCTTCAAGAGAAACAGAACGCGAAAACGCAGTGAGAGTACAAGAAACACAGTTATCTCTAACCTTTTGATAATGGAATACCGGGCGTGGCTTCGATTTCGTCCTTCGTTGGCATAATGCACACTTTGGAACTTGGAGGATTACTCTTAGGCATTTCTTCTGGAAACGAATAATGAGTGTGGCTCAAGCCTCAAAGACACCATCGGGGATTACAGAGTGGGCGGGAGCAGGAAGCAACGCCGTTGCCGCGCCCCACCTTTTTTGATCTTCTTACCGTCATGAAAGCCTTGAAGGCAGGAATCTCTATGATGTCTTTTCGGCGCTCGGCGTTCCAGGAGGATGTTCCGTGTAGGTACCACAAAAAAGGCAGTAGTTGGTGAAGGCCTCATTCACACCCCATAATTTAGTCGGCGATCTTACTTGGTTGAGGTTTCTCAAGACGAAAAAAGGTAGCCATGAATACGAGCAACTACAGTTCAAGGCTTGTTGTTTGCCAAACAGCCGTATGTCAGGGTGTACGATATGTCAAGGGTCAACCCAAGTGGACTCCACTTCCTTCAGTTGGTATTTGTATAACTGCAGCTCTTATGTTTACCTGACATTCATATAAACACTAATTCGGTGTGTCGTTTGTCGGTAGTGTAATGTACTGTATGTATGTATTGATGTATGCTATGTTATGTCCGCAAAATGCTTTACAGGTTAAACATGTTAGATGAAAGGAGAGAACGACCGCTAGCCGGTGGCGAAACCAGTTGGTGCAGATGTATCAATCCAATGTTTTGATTGTGATAACACCCTGCTATATAAGAAGAACCATGTAGTGCACTCCAAACCATTGCACGAGCTGCTCGCGTGGCAGGTGGACGTGAGCCGGCAGTGGCAGGAATGGGGCGCCGCAAGTGGGTGGGGCAAGTGGGATGGTGGGGGTTATAATGTGGGTGGGTGGGTCCATTAGTGAGGCGAGAGGAAGCAATAGAGGTGCGTTTAGTAGAGAACTCAATCACCGTGTGCGGTGAATAAAAGCGCCAGTGAAAGCGATAAGGTGAATAGAGGAAGGATCAACCGCTAGCAGAGTCGCGAATAAAATCCATGTTTCGGTACCACTTTGAGGCAATGTGTAATTGTTTACTACCTCACCATATGTAATTGTTTACTACCTCACCATATAAAAGAATCATGTAGTGCACTCCCGCTCAGCAAATCCATTCTTTATCTCAGAAGAAGGCGTGCAGGCATCAGCCGGCAAAGCCGGCTGGTGTTATATATAACCAGTACTCTGTAGGTCTCTATTCTCTTATTTGCAAGAACCCTAAAACTGGAAGGCTCAGGCCTCGAAAAAGCGCGTAAAGGACCACCTCGCAGAGGACCAACTCATCTCACCTTGCAGCTTCACAATCTATCGCGACACGATGTGAGCAAGAAGGTTCAGAGCTATCGGATTGCCGCCGACTGCAGGCGCTATGGCTGAAGCCAGTCGGTCAGGGCGTATCAGCAGGATACGAGCTTCGAGCGACAGACCATTTTCCATCGATCACTGTGGCTTCGGCGTACAGTGAGTGGTGTAAAAAGGGGCTGTTCGCCACAACCCATTAACCTACTGATACGGTTCGACTTGTAATCTTGGGTAACTACTACCGTCGACACGCATATCTTTCTGCAGAGTAATCTCCTTAACTCGGTGGGTTAAGGAAGCGCGCAGCCAGAAATATCAAACCTGACCCGAAAGTAGTTCCTTTCTTCACTAATGGAATACGTCCTTGACGTCCGTAATAGGAAATCTTCAACAGTAATGATATCCATCGATTAGGTTTTTTTACGCACTGTGTTAATTTGAATTAGGTTCTTCTTTTTTTTGTGGAGAATTGGCGACAGGCATTGGACACCTGACTAAGTCAATCCGTATCCTAGACCTTCGTGGATTTCGCGAACTCTCAATGGCGCAAGGCATGAAGGAAATCTTACCCTTTCAGCTTGCAAAAGGCGAAAAAGGTGAAATGCAAGAGGCTTACTTCAATCCAACGATCCACTAGTGAAGGTGAGAAGGGGTGCTCTGGGTCATATGCAACTATGAACTCAAACTGACTGCAACTTCCAGTTGAAATCCATGTTGCTATCAAACCCCCGCTATCACTCGACGGCGTTAGTTTGCGGATGAGTTTTGTGATTTCATGGTTTCATTACCGATAAGATTAGAGAATAAAATGGCCAGTGGTTCTTGGAAGGGAGTTGGGTGGGTTGTAGGGTTGGAGGTGCAGACATTTATGGTTGCAAGACCTAGAAGGCTTCCTATGTGGTCAGCAAGAATGCAAGTTTGGGTTATGCACATTGCGCAACTGCAGTCGTCCTAAAAGATGGGGTCCTAAAAGAGAAGGGACGTCGATATCTGAATGAGTCAGGAGGAGCGAAACAAAGAAGAAGGATTCCAATAACACTCCCTTTCTTGCCGACAATCACGATCTCTGAAAGAACAAAAACGTTGAGATCAACTGTAAGAAGGGAGAGACACTGAAGAGAATAAGAAAACGATGCCTGGGTGAGAAAAATGGCTCTGTGACGACGAGACGGGAAAGTGCGACTTGCACAGACCTCATGGACCTGAATGCCTATGTTGCAAGCCGTTTCCTGTACTCTTTCGAGCAGCTAAAAGGAAAGCGGCGAGAAAAGAAGATTGCTACGAGCTGAAGACTCCACACTCTTTTTTGTGCTCATCATTCAATCATCTCTTTTAGACTCCACTGAGAGCTGACATTAGAAGCTCGCGTACCAATATAACCTTGGGTAGCCTCCGCAAGGCTCCTAGGTCAGGTAGGGTACCCATACACTTCGCAAGACTCGATTGAGCCTGGTTCGTCTCCTTTTCGTGT